TGGCTAAAGCATGGGGTACGACTGCCCGGGACGTGGCTTGAGCCTGCTGACGTGGTCCTGCACCTAGGTGCAACCCCACCGAACGCGGACGTTGGACCGTGCCGAGGCAACAGCACGCACCCCACTCCCGGGTCGGAAGCCGCCAAGAAGTCGAACAACATTTGCGACTCGTTCCCCATGTACATGGAGATTGACTACATTCGCATCTACCAAGACAAGAGCTCCATGTTCATCGGATGCGACCCCCCCACGCACCCGACCAAGAAGTGGATCGACGGCCATCTCAAGTGGTACACGGACGCCAAGAACCCGATGGTCCGCGTCGATGGCGGCGCGACTTGCAACTCGGACGACGACTGCTTGATCCCGTCGGCCGCCATCCCGAGCGGCCGGTGCTTCAAGCGTCGATGTGATTGTGTGGGTGGCTATGGGGGCCCCCGTTGTACCAAATACGTGGGCAGCAAAACCCTCGACACATCGAGCCCCAACTACTTCGGACCGCAGTTTCTGTACCCTGCCGGACTGGCCGCCGTCGTCGTCGCCGCCGTCGCGCTCACGTGTGTGCTTCGCAAGCGCCGCCTCGCCGCCGCCACGCTTTCGTCCCATCGCGCGAACGAAGCGGCCAAAGGCAGCCGGCAGAGCGACAACCCGTTGAACGACAGCGTCGCGATGTTGGAATCGACACATCACCAGCACCGTCGATTTTACGCGCCGGCCAACACGGTGGAGGCGTAACGTGAGGCCACCGTGCGTTTGACGACAGGTGATTTTACATATTTAATACACAAGGTCCAACGGATGGCTGGCGTGCGCGCATCTCGGGCACTCGCGAGGCATGCACAACCAACGAAAACACACACGGCCGGGCCACCGCCGTTTGCTTCCATTTTGACAACACCACGTCATGATGTGCGGTCGACGACGGTCGGCTAGACGGATCCTACAACGTCCGTGGCGACCAAGTTGGCCGGGGCGTAGTACCGTCGGGGCGCGTCCTGCGTCGTGCGATCGTCGTTCTCTTTGGTCGCGGCATGGACCGCCGTCGCCATGGCATTCGTAAACGTGCGCTGGCGATACCGCCACACGCATGTGAGACCAACGGCGGCCGCCATCACGCTCACAAGGACTGCAGGGTACACAACTTTAGGACCAAAGTAGCTCTCGTCGTGGATGTTGAG